CCTCTGGGAGGAATAACAGGAGGGAACCATGGCCTGGGTGGCACTGCTGATACTCAGCACTCCCACCTCCAAGGTCTGGCTCCCTGATACTCCATAAGAGCTGATTTATCTTTAGTTATGTGTGTCTGTGTTGGCTGTATGCTCTGTGTGCAAGTATCGGCAGAGGGCAGAAGAGGGCGTCATATTTACCTCGAGCTGGAGTTACAGGTGATTGTGAGCTGTCCTAAGTGGGTGCTGGGAACTGAACTTTGGAAGAGCAGTAAGCACTCATAACCCCTGGACACCGTCACAGCCCCTGCCAGAGTGTGAACTCAGGGCCGCACAGACAAAGCAGTTCCTGTTCCCCTCACTGTCCCTAAGGGCCAGCTCCAAGCCTGGCTTCTAGTCAACCCCTCCTCATTCAAAGATTTTTAAAAAACCTTCCAGAAACTTCTGTGGACCAACTGTCTCAGACAATAGCTGGTCCAAGATGGAGTTGTATTAGGATGTTGTTCTGTGACATGGAAATGCCTAGAATAGGGTACCTAGTCTTTGCTGTTTGTAAGTTTCACCTGGCTCCTTACCCACCGCTCACAGCTCCAAACTGAACTCGAAAACAGTCCCTCCCAAACTCTAAGAAAGCGAGGTGTGCTGGCTCACACCTATCATCCTAAATTAAGGGGGCTGATGCAGGAGATAATGAACTCCCAGTTCAAAGCCAGCTTGGTCAGCCAATAGAAAGTCTCCAAAGATCACCAGCTCCTTGCAGGCAGAATCCTTGCCTCCCTGGATTCACCTTGAACATAGGAGGTAAGATACAGGAAATTTCCCACAGAAGGAGCTTTACAAGGTTGACATGGCCAACCAACTTACTCACTCCTTAAAATGTTTATTCAACAGAGAAGAAACTGAATGAACACAGTGTCGGGGGATGTTCTGTACTGGCCGAGATGTCCCCACCCTTTGTCACATGCTAAATTCCTAAAGCCCAAGATGCTTAAAAGCTTATTTATTTATTTGTTATTTGTTTTATTATTGTTGTTTGTTTATTTGTTGAAGCAAGTCTTGCTATAGTACCCCGGCTAGTCTCAAACTGAGGCTCTTCCTGCCTCAGCACTTCTGCTGGGATTGCACATGAGGCTGCTCTCAGCTCCCCACCCCTGCACTTTACAGGTTCTTTACAGTGATGATTCACATGAAACAAAGTCCCCAGTGTGGACCTTCATTTGTGTGGCTGGTGTCCTAAGAGGAAGCAGGCCACAGAGAGAAGCTCAGAGGATGATAACAGGTGACAAAGACGAAAGATGGCCACCCATGAGCCATACAACCCCAGATGTAGGCAGCCATGATCACACTTGATCTTGGACTTCTGGCATTCAGAACCTCATGACAGTAAAGTCATGTGTGTCATTCATCCAGGCTGAGGCAGACACAAGTCTACCAGAATCAGCTCTAGCTTGACTCTATCACACACACACACACACACACACACACACACACACACACACCCCACAGCAGAGCCAGAACCTACATAATGAGTCAACTCTGCCAGCTTATTCATCTTCCGACAACCCTCCAGGCTGAACCCCTGAATCACTTCTCATGGAGCCTAGACTAGGAAATGAGCAGATACCCAGCTCATCGGCTACATTTTTCCAACATGCCTAATTGTGGACGCCTTTCCCAGAGAAAGTGGACAGCAGTGCAGAGACAAGGCCCTTTGTTCTGCCCCTCCAGGGACCACGAGGGCAGAAGAGAAGGGCCTGTCTTGCTCTGTGAGAAGGCCACGCCTGGGCCTAGCTGAATGGTGGGCAGGGCAGGGGCTGCCTGGCACGGCTGGGCTATGGACCTCAAAGACATAAAGGCCTGGTAGGTGAGACATGGGAGCAGGGGGAGGCAAAGGGCACACCTGAGAGAGGATCATCAGTTGGATGAGACCAAGAGTGAACAACCATCCCCCACTGAGGTAAAGCAGCTATATCATGGTCATAGGTGAAAAGAGGGGAGAAAAAAGAACAGAGGAGGGGATAGCAAGGGACACAACCCTAAAAGAACTTCAACATGTGCATGTGGGAAAGGATGGGTACCTTGAGGGCCTGGGCCCATACAGGAGATAATGCAGCTTATCAGAGGCATGGTCATTGGGTAACCTCCATGAATGGAGTCTGGAATAGCTAATCTCACAAGAAAAGTGACAGTTTGTTCCCAGATGAAGACAGAGTCTCCAGAAACCCAGGTCAGTGGTGATACAAGGACAGAGAAACAATAGCCTTGCTGTGCCTGCCAGGTTGCTTCATTCAGCGGACTTACCCTGGTCCCTCCAGGGTGATCTCTCCTCCCACCATCAGGCAGCAGGATCTAGCAACCAAGGTCTCCCCACCACCTCTCCCAACTCCTTCAGATACCCCCGAGATTCACTGAGGCCAGTATAGACTAAAGGCAGATTTTCACAAAAGGCATCTGGTGTCACCTTGGGTCCATTCCATGTGGTACATTCCACATTCCACAATCTGTCATCATCTTTGGCCACCACACCGATGATGCAAACCAAAAACACTATAGCATCACACAATGTACAAGATGGCGCTGGGGCAAAGAATGGCCCCACACCAGACATCAGGGGAATTTGACAGCCAAACCTGCATTAAGGGCTATTGTAGAGGGTTAGGGCTCTACACAAGGACTTGTTGGCTTTCTGCTCTTTTGGAGTGCTGGGGATGCCTCTGCCTTCATGTGCTAAGAACTAGGGCATGAGCCTAGCCTCCCACCATGCTTTCTGGTTCTAGAATGTCTAGGAACCCACCTCCAATGCCAGCACCTGCCTGAGCCCATTCTGGAAAAATAGGAACAAGGATCCTCTCTAGTGGGTCACTGGAAAAGACAGCTAAGACAAACAAAAGCAGAGGCCACAGAAAATGTCCCAAGAGCAGAGTGACAGGGTCTTTGCTCCTAACATCATGGGTTCATCACTGAAATGGCTTTCTGAGAAAACAAGATGGATTCCCCTCATCTCAAGCCTTTCTCTAGGTGTCCCCAATTCTTTGATAACCCATGCTGCCTGTCATTGTGAGAGCCTGCCTAATGGGAATATCATTCTTTCCATGTAAAAGTACAGCAGCAATCACTCTGAGGCACAATATCTCAGTTCTGCTCTCAGGAGGCAGCCAAGCACTTGACACAAATAGCTCTTGCTTAGATTGAGGTTAGATCTGGACATGCCATCTAGCACATGCCACTCCAGAGAGATGAAGGAAGGGAAGCCACAAGGTCATGATCTCCTGTCAGGGAGTCAAGCCAGGAATTCTGAGCCCCACCTGACCCACAAAATAACAGCTGAAATTGAGAGAGGAGTTTGCCCAACTAAGATGTCAAAGTCAGAGCGTTGTGCTTTGTGCAAGAATGCTGGGGATGTGGCTCCATGGTGGGACACTGACACAGCAAGCATGCACAAGACTCTAAGTTCCATCCCCAACACTGCAGGGCAGGAGACAGAAAAGTCAGGGCTGCATAAACTCAAAGGGTGTGTACCAGAGACACGAAAGTTAATAAGTGGGGTTAGGTCTGGAAAAAGGCTGACACAGACCAATCCTGAGGAAGAAGTATGCAGAGTCTTACTCCAGACCAGTCCAGAAGGCGCTTGCTTCTTCCAGGAGACCCCCACTGAGTGCACAGAAGAAACCACATGGCCATGGCATAGACAGATTCAGGTCCTCCCTGGAGTCTCCAGACAAGGGCATTGCAAGGGGCATGCCTGGGCCATGGGCCCTGGGGCAAGCTAGGCTAAAAGCTTTCTTCCAGAACATGCTGGAAGTGAATGGTACAGTCATGTCTCTGAGGCTTCCTTTATATTCAGATTCCTGTACCAAATGGCGCTCTAAAACCTGGCCTCCCTTCTGCAAGCACACAGCAGATAGAGATCCTAGAAATGGGGGAGGGGAATGAAGAAAGTCAAGTCAATCAAAACCAGCCAGCTCCAGACCCTTGTAAGAGCAGACAGGCTTGTGACAACCACTTTACAATTGTTCATTTCACCCCAGCCATTCCTGTACATATTCCTTAAGATTCTGGAGTCTCAAAGACTAGACAGTAACCAAGGAGGGAAGATGTAACTGACGGGCCGCAAGGTGGATGGATGTCTTAAAGTGCTGGCACCTGAGCCAAACAGGCACTGAGGGGCCTCCCTACGAAGCCCGGGGATAGGGGTCCACAGAAAAAGAAGGGAGGGCTTGCTGGCAGCTGTGCCTCTGTGGGGATGAGCTCACAGCCACTGCCGGGGACACATTTCCTGTATGTTCTTTTTACCCATTTAAGTCCAAGGATGCGACTCTCTTGAGAGGGTGGCTTCCACCCTACGCCGCTCCCTTTCTTCTGAAACGCAGTTCGGGGTATCAGAACTCCCCCTCTAGCTCCCCTAGAATCCAGCTACCCCCTTCTTCAGCGGAAAGAATGCACATTCCAAGGCAGAGAGAGAAAGAGACGCAGAGGGAGCTGGGACTGGCCCCAGCGGATCACCCAGCTGTAGGAGTGTGAAGTCAGGAAGAAGATGAATCAAGAGGGGAAGGCGGGGGCGAGTCTCCAGAGGCTGCACCCCGTCATCTCCCTTTCCTCCTCTACCCTCCTCTGGCCCTCTGAGGAACTGTTCTTGCGTGACTTTCCAGGCCCTCTCTTTTGCACGCTCCACTCCCAATAGCGTGTTGCCACAGACCTCGTACCGTTCTGGGGAGCGCCCGGGGCGCCTCTTCGACATCCCTGGGCTCGAACCCCGACTGTAGACGCCCTTTTCTCTAGCACGAGTCCCTGACCTCCCCCGTTTCCCAAGACCCCCCAGTTGCCGACTCAGCCACGTCCTCTCAGCAGCCGCAGCTCAAAGCCGCTGCAAGCCCGCCAGACTAGCCCCCATCTGCGTCCCTGCGACCCCCAGGCTGCGTTCCGCACTCGCTCCCTGGGACCCCACAGCATCAACCCCGTGCGCATCCTCGGGCCGGTCTCCGCTCACAGTCGCCCCCGCCCCGGGAACTCACCTGGACCTCGGCCGCCGCGCGCCACCGGTCCCCGGCCGGCTCCCCTCCCGGACGCCCGCCAGCCCGCCAGCACCTCTCCGCCGCCCCGCCCCAACGCGACGCGCCTCGCCCGCCGCTCCCCCGCACGCTCTCACTTCCGGGTTCCGGAGGGGCAGAAGGGCGGGGCGCCAGCGCGTCAAAGAGGCGGGACTTACGGCCACGCCCAACCTAAAGGCTTGCGGCGGACGCCCCCTGCGGTTGGCGCGTTCGGATTGCCAGGCTCCTTAGCGCTGAGCGGGCGGGGCGCTTTGGTAGCCGCGCTCCTCCCCAGCAGCCTTTTTTCTTTCTTTCTTTTTTTTTTTTTTCCGCACACAGCGGGATCTGAGGCCCGCGCTTCCGAGGGACGACTTGAAGCCACGCCTGCTCGCACCGCTTTTTGCCGGGCGGTTCCAACCGAAGTGAGCCTAGCCCTTGCCGCTCGTCACTCGCCCTCCACAACGAGAACGCCCTCCCGTCTTAAAGCTCCACGCCACACTCCCTGCGTCCTAGCGGGCGAGGCTCTGAGAAGCGAGCCGTGGAGTGGAAGGCGGAAGAATGGCAGACTCCTCGGAGCGGAGCGTGGAGTGAGTTGGGGGCGCAGCAGGGCGGAATTTAGGGGCGCCAGAGGTCTGCCCAAAGACCTCTGGCCAAAGAGCCTGGGCTGACAAGTAGCCGCGTTGGGGGACCGGGATCCCTCCAGCGGCTTCTGTGCGTGCTGGTATCCCAGACGCGGCTCAGAGTTGAAGTTGTGCGTGAGACTTTGGTGTTGGCTGCAGGCGGCTTAGCCCCAGGGTGCCTAGCTTTCGCATGGCAGGGGCGGGGGGTCGCGCTCAACCTTCTGGGTTTTATAAAAAGGAGGCTTGTTCTGGTATGTTTTTTTAGACAGGGTCTCTCGTAGCTCAGGCTTGCTCTAAACACGCTGTGTAGCCAAAAATAGCCTTAAACTCCAGATCCTCCGACCCCTCTCAAGTGCTGGGACTACACGCGTGAAACACCACCTCTAGCTGTGACCGTTTACGGCAGCGTTGCACTACCCAGATACATCTGTTAGAGTGAGCTTGGGAAGCATTGGAGCCTCCATCGTTCCTTCTTAGAATTCAAGTTTCCTTATTTCCTGAAAGGAGTTTTGTGGCACTGCTACGGGAAAAGTTGGGAAGTTAAGAAACAATTGCTTTAGAGTAATGTCTGGAAATTGATAAAAATCTACACCTGAGTGGGTTGTTGCTAGCACCCACGTATGCTCAGTGAAGGTCAGAACGCTTTCCACCCCATCGTAGCCTGTGAAGCAAAGCCTGTCAGCATAGGGTTCAGGAGGTGGAGGTGGGAGGATCCAGACTTCAAGGACAGCCTGTCTCAAAAAAAAAAAAAAAATTTTTGTTGTTGTTGTTTATCTTTGAGATAGGGTCTCACCCTGTAGCCCTGGCTGTCTTGGAACTCCTTGTGTAAAACTCGGAGAGATATGAATGAAATGAAATGAACTGCTCCTAGGTATGGCTGAGGAGGTTTATTGTAGCTATGAGGGAGAGCACAGCCAGAGGTATGGGAAAAGTCTAGACTACACCTGGCCAGCGGGCTGAACCAGGCCCTGAGTGGAAAGAGACAGCAAAGAGACACCTGGGAACCAAGAGACCAAATAGACAAAATGGCTGAAGTACATAGGGAGGGGAAGTGATGCCCAGGGTAGGAGTGGGGTGTGCCAACCAGGACAACTCTGTACTTGAAATGCTGGGAGAACCTAGAGGCCAGTGTCCACTTTGATATGCTAAATAAGCATCTCAACCATTTGTCCCAGGTTTCTTTAAGACCTAACAAGATCTACCTGCCTCTGCCTCTGGAGCTCTGCACTACCACACCCAGCCCCAGGCCAACTTTCTCTCCTTGACAAGTAAGTAGAAAGAAGTTACAATTCCAGCAGAGCCTGGATTCTAACATTAAGGTCTTACATTTGCATGCATGTCTGTGAGGAAAATTAATAGGGGGCTAGAGAGATGGCTCCATGGTTAACAGCACTTATTGCTCTTGGAAGACCTGGGTTCAGTTCCCAGGACCCATGTTGGGAGATCACAACTGCCTGTAACTCCTGCTCCAGGAGATCTTATGCTTCTTTCTAGCTTCTGTGGGCACCTACTGTTGGAATATATGCCACGCAGATGACAGATCTGGTATGAAAGATATTTGTTGGATGTAGATGGAGAGAGGGAAGGAGAGAGAGACATGGTGGGGGAGGGGGCAAGAGAGGAACAAGAGAGCAGAGTAAGAGAGAGAAGTAAGAGGCAGGGGTCCATTTATAGCAGGGGACACAGAGGGAGTTCAAGAACAGCCAGGGCTATACACAAAAACCCTGTTGCAAAAAGCAAAATAAAATAAAATAAAATAAAATAAAATAAAACATATTTAAAAAAAAATAGAGGAATATTTTAACAGGAGCAGACAAAGAGACCCAAATGGATGGGGCCAGTGGGGAGACCAGCTGCTGAGCTGTGGCTGGACACCGTAGGGTTAGGGCAGAGATTCTCATGTAGGACTGGTAGTCAGAGGTTGCTCTCAAGGATGGAAGGCTTAGTTAATCATTAGTCAGAATTCCTGAATCAAGAGGGTATTGCAGGATTCAAGAAGTATGGACATGTGTTCTGCCTGACCTGGGTCAGCACAAAGACTAGAAAGAGCCCTCCTACCAATACAAGAGTCAGAACAACCATTAAAGGAGTAATCACAAGCATAAGTCTGGTGGAGAAGTTCAAAATCCTCCTTAGAGCCAGGTGTAGTGGTTGTACCTCTGTAATCCCAGTACTCAGGGAGCACAGACAGGCAGATAGCTGTGAGTTCGAGGCCTGGTCTACAAGGCTACACAGTGAAACCCTGTCAACCCCGTCTTGAAAAAAAAAAAAAGAAAGAAAGAAAGAAAGAAAGAAAGAAAGAAAGAAAGAAAGAAAGAAGATCTTTCTTTCTGAAAGAAAGATCCTCCTTAGTGGGAATTAATCAGAGAACAGGTGGAGAGAAATGGGATTGCTACTGATGCCACAGGCATGGGAGAGGATGTTAACATGGATTTTAGACAATAGAGGATGTTGTGCGGAAGGCAGAATAATGATAGATATTAACAGTTTTGCTGTAGATCTTAGCCCAGCAGTTTTGGCTTTTATCTGTACCATTCCAAGGCTCTCTTCTTAGGGACAACCATGCTGAGTGGTGAAGGTACAGCTTGCTTTGGAGACCGTGGCTTATGCTTCATGAAGCTAGATGTCCCAGAACCCAGTGGGACTGAGATGTGAGAAAAGCAGTCTTCAGAAGAGAGAACTGAGAAGCAAAAGCCACTAAAAAAGAAATTTCTGAATCAGAGTGTCTGTTAGCCCTATGTTTTGTTTTCCTGTTTTATGTGTCCAAGTTTTTAGCCTAATGTGTGTGCCAAGTGCCCAGGAAGTCCAGAACTATGCCCCTGGAGCTGGAGTTACAGGCAGATACAAGCCACAATGTGGGCACTGGGAACTGAATCTGTAAGAGCAGCAACTGCCTAGCCACTGAGCCATCGCTTCAGTCCCCCATTAACTGTGTTGTAATTGAGAATTCATTATTTTTGCCTTCTATATTTGACTTAACACTGATGTAATAGGAGTTACCGTTAACACTATGGTGCACATATGCACTTTGACACATAGAATAAATTTTTTTTCTTTTTTGGGGGAGGGGAGGTGTTTGTTTTTTGAGACACGGTTTCTCTGTATAGCCCTGGCTGACCTGGAACTCTGTAGACCAGGCTGGCTTTGAACTCACAGAGATCCACCTGCCTTTCCCTTCTGGGTGCTGGAATCAAAGGTGGGCACCACCACTGCCCAGTTCATTCGTTTGTTCGTTCTTTCTTTCTCTCTCTCTCCCTCCCTCCCTCCCTCCCTTCCTCCCTCCCTTCCTTCCTTCCTTCTTTCCTTCCTTCCTTTTTTAAAGAAAAACTGTGACCCGACATGGTGGCATGACTTTAGTCTCAGCACAGACCTTTTCCTAAGCCTCAGGGAGCTCTACAATTGCTAAAGGGCTTTCTGTGCTTCCCTTCAGCCCTTGCTCTCCCAGAGCTCACTGTGAGAGCTCCAGGTTAGAGGGGTGTTTGCTTCTTAAGAGTTTGGAGGACAGCTGGGTAGTGGTGGCACACACCTTTAATCCCAGTGCTCAAAAGACAGAGGTAGGTGGATCTACAGTGAGTTCCAAGACAGGTAAGGCTACAGAGAAACCCTGTCTCAAAAAAAACAAAACAAAAAAAAAAAACCAAAACAAGAATGTGGAGGCCAGGGATCACCACCAGGTGTGAGGTGTGCAACAAGGTTGCTTTGCGTTGCCTCTAATCCATGATAACTGTCAAGGAGTGTAAACAGCTCAGACTACAACTCCTAGACCTCAGACTTCCAACCCTGAAGGGAAGGGAATGCAGTGGACACGGGACAGGACAAGGCCGTGTGGCTGAAGCCTCTGATGGGCAAGCCTGGGGCACCCTGAGGGACCACAGGGTAGTCTTTGTAGAGCTGCAGAGCCACATGCTGTCCATCCATGGCTCACACCCATGGTATGACTTACCCTAGCCGGAGAAGATGCTCCTTTCCCCAGCTCCCATAGCTGAGCCCCCTTCCATCTGTATGCTGCAGGGAGAAGCCTGCACCAGAAGACCCCAGCCCTGCTTTTGACCTGTAGGTGAGTCCAGAGAGGTTTGGGTTCCTCTGGAGCTGGAGCTTCAGGTGGTAGTGAGCCATCTGATGTGGGTGCTGGGGACTGAATGGCAGTCCTCTGCAAGAGCAGCAAACACTCTTAACTTGTGAGGCACATGGCCCAGCCAGGGCTGTGGAGTGAAATCTCTCGCTGAGGGGTTATTTCCTCACTGAACAAGACCTGAGTTTGGGTCCCTAGAAACCACATAAAAACGGCATGCAGTAGGGTCTGCAATCCCGGCACACCCCACAGAGAGATGGGAGGCCAAAGCAGAGTCTTTAGAAGTAGGCTAGCCTGGCATACACAACCATGGATGAAAAGGTGGAGGGTAAGGACCAACACTGAGCTTGTCCCCTGACCCCTAATG